TTTTTGTATTATCATGATAGTTGACAAATAGATCAAAACATTTCATAAAAGAAAATCAGCTTCAGAAAAAGAAAAAACTCCAGCTTACAACCCTGGCAATGTAAAACAGATAACGAGTTGTATGTGACTGACCGACAATCTGTATACTGAACATGAGGATGGTGTTCATCCCTCACCACCATCGCTCGTTTTTAAGGACACTGGTCATGGATAGAAACATTTGGTTTATGGGTGTATATACACCCTATAATGAATAAAAAAAATTGGAAAATATTTTCAAAATAAACTTGACCTTAGATTAGCTCGAGGTCGGGGAGAATATATCCAGTGAAATGAAGAGTATGTGCACTCATGCACCCCATGATTTTGGTCCGCTGGATGTGGATATGATGGACAAGATTAAGACAAAGACTCAGATATGAGCATATTTTGTGCATGAACTTTGATTTGGATGAAATATATGAGATCTTACTGCAAACGTGACGGACTATCAAGATGGATTGTCGGTTGCCTTGTCATAAAATCCGAGGTCTATTTTGGAAATACGCCAACAACACATCTTTGGGCCAATTCAAACTACTTAAATAATTTATAAGGTAAATAGAAAATAATTTTCGAACGCCACTACAATAACTGAACGAATTTGATTAAAAAATAATAAAAATAGCATATCTGACTCTATGGAATTGTTGTAAAATTACTTTGAAAACATTTCATTTAGAAGATATAAACGTTGATGGGACACATTAGATAGATTCCTAAATGCATGGATAATGAGATAAAAGGAATCCGAAATACTCCACCACAGCCACATATGCTGAGCTCGAGCCACCTGATTGGTAAATCCAATTCCTCCACGTAGCAGAGCCGTTGGAAATGACTTTGCCGCTAAGCGACGTGTCCTAAGAGCATCCAACAAACACACTTAATAAGCATCGCGCTGGAAAAAAAAACGCCTATTTGACGTGCGAGAGACAAAACACAGCGCTCCAGCAGAAACTGTAAAATAGAGCGTGCACAAAAATGAAGTTGTAACTTTAACACACACGGGCTGTGGGGCTACAAATTTGGGACGCCGGCTTGTGCTCGCGGGCTGCTGCATGTGGGGCCGTCGGGTTGGGCGCCATGTTTTTGTGCGCTTGGTAAACCTCCCGCGCGTAAAAACACTATTTTAGCACTGCAAAACTTTTCTAGCATGCCGCACTACCACACGTCTGTTGGAGATGCTCTAAAAATGACGTGAGAGGGTCTAGAAGGTCAGTGAGTAAAACTATCAAGCACGCATGGAGCTACTAATTCTTGGGCTGGAAGAATAACTTTTACTAATTTTCTGCTTAGGCGATTATCTATCAGAGAATAACCTATATATTTGTTACTGAATCTTTAAACGAATATATATGTCCCATATATACCAGCATGCAAATATGTGCAGAGCTTGGGCATTGGAGTTGATCTCTGGGCGGCACGTCCGGTGACAATATCTCTTTACTCATTTCGTGATACATTATTTTGCAACTAACTTATTAGCCACTTTGCTTGCAAGGCTTCTTATGGTGTGTATTATCAAGAGGGCCCAGAGATACCTCTCCGATACTTGGAGTGACAAATCCTAATCTCGATCTATGTCAACTCAACAAACATCTTTGAAGATACCCGTAGAACATCTTTGTGATCATACAGTTACATTGTGACGTTTGATAGCACACAAGGTATTCCTCCGGTATTCGAGAGCGTTGCATAATCTCATAGTCGAAGGAATATGTATTTGATCAAGAAAGCAATAGCAATAAACTGAACGATCAATATGCTAAGATAACGGATGGGTCTCGTCCATCACATCATTCTCTCCTAATGATGTGATCCCGTTATCAAGTGACAACTCATGTCCATGGCTAGGAAATCTTAACCATCTTTGATCAATGAGCTAGTCTAGTATTGGCTTACTAGGGATACGGTATTTTGTCTATATATCTACACATGTATGATGTATCAAACTTTTGGTCAATACAATTCTAACATGAATAATAAACCTTTATCATGAATAAGGAAATATAACAATAATAACTTTATTATTGTCTCTAGGGCATATTTCCAACATGAAAAGCATAGAGAAGGGGTAAAATTATTAATCCTAGCTATTAAGGAGTCGAATGTGGCTGGAAGTGGTTACGGACCAAAAATTTGGGCTTTGTTTGCGCACCTGTTAATGGACCAACATGGATTAATTGTCCTAACAACTGATTAATCGGTCTAACTAGCCAATTAATCGGCCTGGCAAGTTAACACAACGAATCTGTGTTATTCGATTAGTCCAAGCTATGAATAGCGATTAACTGCCCCGTTAACTGATTAATCGGGTGAATTCTTAAACAGTGATACTCCCTACGTTTGTAAATATAAGTCTTTTTAGAGATTCTAATATACTCCCTTCGTTCCTAAATATTTGTCTTTCTAGACATTTCAAATGACTACTACATACGGATGTATGTAGACATATTTTAGAGTGTAGATTCACTCATCTTGCTCTGTATGTAGTCACTTGTTGAAATGCCTAAAAAGACAAGTATTTTGGAATGGAGGGAGTAGATTACACATGAAGCAGATGAATGAATCTAAACTCTAAAGTATGTTTATATACATCCATATATAGTCCATATTAAAAAAAGACTTGTATTAGGAACAGAGAGAGTACAAGTTAGCATCAAACAAACTCTCCAATGCCTCTACGACAACCTTAGATTAGCTCGAGGTCGGGAGAATATATTCACTGAAATGAAGAATCTATGCACTCGTGCACCCCGTGATTATTTTGGTCCGTTGTATGTGGAATGATGGACACGATTAAGATAAAGATTGATATATTATTAGCACATTTTGCTATATGAACCTTATATTTAATCAAGTTCAACCCGCACTTCATTTCTCACCGCGGTTTCATTATGATGTTTTGATTTTGATGAAGTACGAGGGCTTACTGCAAACATGTCAGACTATCAAGATGGATTGCGGGTTATGCTTGTTGTAAAATCTGAGGTCTATTTTAATTATAAAAAATTCCAAGGTCAATTTTTAAAGTCAAATAAAAATAATTTAGAAGTTAAAAAAAAATTAAATACAATTAAAAGAAGGACGCCGATAAGTGCCACACGTGTGGGCGTTAGGCGGGCGTTAGGGAGTCTGCTCACATATTTTGTGTGGTGTATAAAAGGAACAACCCACACACCTGCGTGTGGGCAAAACAAGTAATGCCATACACCTTTTTTTCCCTCCCGACCCCTCTCACACGGGTGCGTGTGGTCGAAATAGATAACGCCCACACGTCCTGTATGTCAGGCCTCGTACCTCGTGGTCACGCACGCCACGCGTGACAATCACCGCGCGCCCGCGGTTGCCATGGTCCAGACCCTCGTCCATGTTCGTTTAACTGCAGTTGCCATATCGCTAAACTACGGTTGCCATATCGGACAACTGCAGTTGCCATGGTTGCTCAACTGCAGTTGCCATCTCATGTCAAAAAGTTCCAGATGCCATTTTTGGGCAACTGCAGTTGCCACCTACGTACTAACACTAGGCAGTTGCCATATATGTTCTGGTTACTACAGTTGCCATGATTTGAAAATTTTAAAAGTTGCCACCTACTAACACTAGACAATTGCCATGTAGCGCTACAAAAAGACATGGCAAAACAACATGTTCGGGTAAAAAAAAAGAGTTGCCATCTGCTTACAAGCTAGGGCAGTTGCCGTGTACCCTGCAAAAAATGTGGCAACTGACATGTTCGGGTGAAAAAAAAAGAGAGTTGCCACCTTCTTATAAAGCACACTAGGGCAGTTGCCATGTACACTGCAAAACACATGGCAAGTGACAACTTGGGTGTGGGAGATGAGACGGGCATGTGGGCGAGATGGCAAATGCCCACACACTAGCCCTTGTGCGTGTGTGGAAAAGTGGCGTGTGGGCGAACTGCTGAACGCCCACACACCAACCCCTCCCGTGTGGTGAAACAACCGTGTGGGTGACCGGATGAACCCATTCACCAGGCCAGTCCTACATGGCATTAGAAACATGCCAAGATTCATGCGCTCACAAACGAACGCGGATCCAGCGTGTGGACGAGATGCAAACGCCCACACGTGTGGGCGTTAATATTTCCGTAAAAGAATTGAACAAAATTGAATAAAAATAATAAAAATATCTGTCTCATGCGGAATTGTGGTAAAAATTTCTTTGAAAGCATTTCATTTAGAAGATAAAAATGTTGATGGGACACATTAGATAGATTCCCTTTTTTTTTCAGGAAACATTAGATAGATTCCAAAATATGCATGGATAATCAGATAAAAGCAATCCGAAATACTCCACCACCTAGCCACATATGCTGAGCTCGAGCCACCTGATTGGTAAATCCGATCCCTCCACATAGCAGAGCCGTTGGAAAATGACTTTGCCGCTAAGCGACGTGTCCTAAAAATGACGTGAGAGGGTCTAGAAGCCAAAAAAAATTACTCCCACCGTAAAGAAATATAAGAGGGAGCAGAAGCTTAGTGAGTAAACGATCAAACACGCATGGAACTACTAATTCTTGGGCTGGTGAATATCATTCTTTTTAATGAATCTAAGAATATCTATGTCTCATACCAGCATGCAAAAATGTGCAGAGCTTGGGCATTGGAGTTGATCTCTGGGCGGCACATCCGGTGACAATTCCTGCTCTATGCTACACCTACACCGGAGCTCTCGGGGTTGCGCAGGTGATGCTACCCGCTCTACATCTGCTGCCTGTTCGGCTGCCGCTGCCGCCGGAACAGGGCGGAGCCGACCCCGTCGGTCCTTGCATCCCGAAGCTCCACAGCCTCTTCAACGACCACGGCCAGGCCAAGCCCGGAGACTTTGACCCGTCGTGCCGGGCCGCCGCCACCATCCTTGACTTGACTCCGGAACGTCGATCACCATCACTTCCGCTGTGGCAAGCGCGGAGCGGCCTCCGTCAGAGGTCAGGCTCACCTCGCCGGCAGGTTCCCGACGGGAGGGGGACTCGTCGGCGTAAGCGCGTCGGGCTTGCCGTCGACGGTGACCCGGCAGAGCGGGCAAGTGGATCGGGACGCCAGCCATGTGTCGACGCACCCGGCGTGGAACCCGTGGCCGCAGCGGGGCAGGAACCTCGCCTGCTCCCCGTCCTGGAGCCCGGCCAGGCACACCGCGCACTCCAGCACCCCGACGTGGTCCGCCGCGCGGTATACCATGACCGGCAGCGAGCCCAGCAGCTCTGCGCCGACGCCTCTCGCCGCGGCCACCTCGGGGACGCCAGTGCTGAACAAGTGGCGGAGGAAGATGAGCGGGAGGGCGACGAAGATGAGGAACAGCGCGAGGAAGGCCGCCGCGGTGAGGAACGGGTCCATGACATGCGTACGTGTGGCTGGGCGAGTGAAGATGCGCTCCGTTCCATCACTAGGTCACTCGTATATCGGTATATGTATGCATGCGGTGGGAGCACAGTGGGGAGGTGAGCGACGTTGACATGGTGGATGGATGAAAGTAACAGAGGAGAAAGAAGCTGCATGGAACCGCGCGCATGACGACGGGTCAACAGTCCACGCATGCAGCAGGGAAATCATTTACGGATTCGCAGGTTTTTTTATACCACACGACACGACACACTCTCCATAGGATCAGGTCTGTCCTCGTCCAAATTTCCAATTTGCACCTGGTATATGATTCATTCAAAATCGTGACCAGTCCACTCGTTTTGAAGACGCCGGAGATCCCCGCTCCCGTGGTGCAAACTTGCAGCGTTAGATTCCAGCATGACCCCCTAAATCGTTCACAAACGTTCGGACTGAGTTGTTCAGATGCTGCATGGTGCCCGCGCATTGTAGCGGTCTATTTCCG